TGTGTGTGTGTGTGTGTGTGTGTTATGTATATCCATCTGGGTGTGTGTGTGTGTGTGTAAGCTACACATTAATATTGGGTGTCTTCCTTATCTCTTTCATCTTTTGTAATCATCTTATGCATATGACTATTTTGCTGCATGTGTGACTGTGCACCATCCATGTGTCTGGTGCCTGCAGAGGACAGAAATGAACATCAAATTCCCTGGATTTGGAGTTATAGATGGTTGTGAGTTTCCATGTAGATCCTGGAACTAAAAGAGCAGCCTGTGCTGTCAACACTGAGCCATGTCTCCAGTCCGGCCTTAGTCCTGTCACCTTTGTTTTTGAGACAGGAATTTTCTTTTCTTTTCTTTTCTTTTTTTTTTAAAGATGTATTTATTTATTTAGTATACAGTGTTCTGCCTGCATGTATGCCTGCAGGCCAGAAGAGGGCACCAGATCTCATTACAGATGGTTGTGAGCCACCATGTGGTTGCTGGGAATTGAACTCAGGACCTCTGGAAGAGCAGCCAGTGCTCTTAACCTCTGAGCCATCTCTGCAGCCCGAGACAGGAGTTTTCATTGAACCTGGAGCCCATTATTCAGCTGGACTGGCATGCCCAATGAGCTACATGGATTATACTGGTCCATTCCCATCCCTTCCAAAAGTTACCACAGTGCACTACCATACCCACATTTTTACCTGGATGCTGGGGGTGTGAACTCAGGTCTTCATGCTTTCCCAGTGGGCACTGCACTGACCGAACTCTCTTCCTGACCCCTCAGCCTCCAAGATTGTACACTCTTACAACCCCAGCACTTAGGAGACAGAGGTGGAAAGATTAAATATTCAAAGTCAACCTGGCCCACATAGAAAGACTCATGCCTTAAAAAACAAAAACAGAAGATTGATGGTGTATATTCTTAGTGCTGTTTTTTGGGGATGAAGAAATGTGTGGGGGAAATGAAAAGAGGAATGAATGTCTTTTCTTCTCTCCTGGACTGAAGCATTTGGTGCTGCCATCTTTCTCTCTTGTGGGGAGTAAAACAGCAATTTCAGTGCCATGTACTGCTCTTTATCATTAACTACTCGTTCGAGACAGGGTTTCTCTGTGGCTTTGGAGGCTGACCTGGATCTAGCTCTTGTAGACCAGGCTGGTCACGAACCCACAGAGATCCACCTGCCTCTGCCTCTGTCTCCCGAGTGCTGGCTGGGATTAAAGGCATGCGCCACCACCACCCGGCCATTAACTAGTCTTCTAGCCTTGTAATATCGCATAATTGAAAACAAACAAAGCCACAAGTAAAAATCATTTAACACTTTGAAACACATTTTCTTTATGAAAAAATCATCTCACTTTCATAGTTCATTAATGATGAGTCTAAGAATAGGGCCCGTCCCACACTTTCAGAGAATAGGGCCTGCTTTTGGAGCCA